TTAGAAGAGGAGGGTCAACAAATTCATAACAAGCGTCACAGCAACGATAGTACGTTGGTTTCGAGAACTAAGATAAGGGGCAAGATGGGAACATTATTGATGGGTGGCAGGACGATAACAGCTGATAGATACCATTAGAAGCCTTGGAAGTGGAGGGTCACCAACATCATAACGCGCGTCACAGCTACGGCAGAACATCTTTTCAAGAAGTAAGATAGAGGCAGTATGGGAACATTATTGGTGGGTGACAGGACGTGATAACAGCTGATAAGATAATATAATGGGCCTCAGAAAGGAAGGGTCACCAACCTGATAACATGCTTCACAGCGACGCTAGAACGTTGGTTCCAAGATGCAAGATAGTGGGCAAGATGGGAACATTATTGGTGGGTGGCAGGACGTGATAACAGCTGATAAGATAGCCTCAAAAATTCACAGCATGGTTGTGGCATTACTGGACTATTTCTTCCAGCAAGTAATTTAGAGGTGCTTAGGTAACATTAGTAGTGGGAGATAAGTTCTGACAGTGTCTGACAGGGCTTCTAGGAGTCGTATAGCTCAAATCACCGCGGCCAACGAATCAGTGGGCAAAGGTTCGGTGAGCCAACATGTTTCTATGTTTCTATTCCTTGGCGATATAGCCGATTTGATCGACCGCTAAACTGTAGAGTTTCAACGAAAAGTAAAAGCTCCGAAAGTTTCACCATGATATCGATATTATTACCCTCGAGACTCTTTCAACCGCAAGGCGTCCTATTTTCAATGGCGAGTGTTGTCAAAAATGTGATAAGCGCCGGTCATTTGTAAATGTTCATTTAGAGGGAAAAATGCGATGAAGTTTGAAGTTGGCCGTATTCCGAAGAATGGGAATTGGGCCAAGTGTTGCGCTCAGCAGAAAAACCCCCTGATCATTACCTTAAGTTCATCCATGCGCGCAGTACTGCGCGTTAGCCAAACTGGTCTAGGAATAATTACCGAAACAATCGAATGAAAGCCGTGGAAAATGAAGACATGAGTTTCTCAGTGCTACAACGTGAAGTTTCTGAAGAACCTTCAGGGGATGGCGTCCAAACGAAACAACACGATGCCGCGGATTGAGCGCATGTAGACGCGTCGCGTATGAAGAATAGTGTTATCGGTCAACTGCATTCAAATAGTATTTTTTGAAAGGACATCACTCCATTTAGAAACCATATTTCGCAGAGTGGTAAGAAAGATTCGAGTTTTATGGCCAGGGCATTGTTACGAAATACACATCAGGTGTCATTAATTGCGTGACAGTTTCTAACCAAAAAATAATGCCGAAAATTTTGGGGCCGGCGAGTTCTTTACTTTTGGCAACAAGTTCGTTCATGCATGAAGCAGAATGGAGAACTACATCTCCTTCGAATGATTATAACAACTTCGCTGTAGCTTAATTATTAGGAAATTCCCCTTCTCGGAAAATCACAAAAGCAGCGCGGCAAATTCTTGGCGAGAGCGAGTTTTTAAACTTCGAAGGCCATAACTTCGTTCATGCATAGCGCAGAACGGAGATCATTACGGCATTGGGGGTAGAAAGTTCTCTCATCCCGGAAAAGCCTTTGCTCTAGCTTAATTATGGCAAGAAAATCGTCCGTCGCGGATTTCGCTTTGAAGTCAGCCTCAGCTGCAGCATGAGGATTCCCACCCCCTCCCAGCTACAAAGTCCACATTTTCATCTAGAAACTTTGTTGAACTTTCCATATACCTTCTCCTTGAGTTATGAAGAGGAACAGCAGAATAGGAGTGCTGATCAACTCCTCAATAAATGCGCCATTTACTCGACTCTACTTCTGACTATGAGCGTATCCTCCATTCCGAACTATGTCGCTCCATTTTCGAGTACTGACCTCTGCAAATATGAGCCCCTTCCCAACGGGTACCAGCCACTCGTCGCGGACTACGCGACGAATGCTTGAGTCTTATCGTTGCATTCGAGGGGATTGCTTTCGAGTTGCACGAAAACAATATTCGTGGCTCTGAAGATAAGCTACCACGAGACAAGTTCCGAAAAATCCTTTTCCGGGGAGGAAACTATCCCCGAACTAATTTCCTTTCTTTTGCTGGCACAAACTTCCAATTGTCGGATGGGTAGTGAATTTGGTAAGAGGCAGATAACGAGCAATATTACATTCAGTCTGACACATATATGGCCTTCCCAAAGATGCTGCAAACATTCCGAAGACGACGTCTGGGCTCTCCTGGATGAGAATACGGCTGATATTCCACCAATTTTGCTTTGCATTTTGCTAACGACCTAAATGGACATGTGAGTGCCGGAAAGACGACTACGCTCGTCGCGGTGGGTTTCTTATAGACCACAGAACGCTTCTTGTAACATGTATGCATGCATAAACTCGTTATCCGGAACAAAAAACTTTTTTCGTGAACGTGACTCCCACTTCGTCACCTCCTACAGCGGCAGTACGAGAACAGGAAAGGACTTGTTCTTATCAGGCATGACGACCAAGGATGCTACAAATGCTAAATAGCGCCGTATAAGAAGTTGACGCGTCCTCAACACCGCCCGCTGATTCGCAATTGCAGCTTCTAGACCAGAGCAGATAGAGTGATCCGGTCTCTGGAAAGTTAGGGGGTGGCGATGAGAAAGCGGGAGACGGCTGTGATTTCTCTCATTTGGATTTTCTACCGGAGGTCCCGAAAGTCGGGGAAAGCAGGGAAGAAGCCGACTAACTCAGGCCGCTGCTCTGGACTTGGCATGAAGCCCCGACGGAGGAGAATTGACAAGGAGACCGCAAAACGATGACATAGAAAAGTGTTGTTGCCATCAATGACTAGAACCACCATCTTCTGATGAACTCAAATAGGGTATTGCAGCGATGGCGCCACTTGCCAGCTGACTTGTGGAGATCGCAGCACTGTATACTGCAGTATGCTTGGCTAAGCTCTTCGCCCGGATGTATCAAAGAAGATGTCCAAAGGCTGGCTGCAAAGGGCGATGATTCCGATTCGAAAGGAGAGGGGCAGGCCGGCAGGCTTCTCAAGCTATCCTCTTCGCTTACTCGCCGAAGCGTGAAAATCTTTGAGCTACATCCGTGGCATCTTCCGACATTCTGCCAACTAGTGTATGCCGCTGGCCTTCTGCTGGAGAAAACTCGTGAGGAGCAGAGGCCCCTGCATGTAGCATTCCTGGACATGGAGAAGGCATTTCAGGAGTTAGAGTGACGTTACTTGGTACGGCTTGCAACAACACTGAGAGTCCCTAAAGAGCTAATCGAGGGGTGCGCGTACTTTGCTCGAACCCAGGAAGCTAGGTGCATTTGCCTGCGGACATTTCAACTGAGTTCTCAATCAACGTTTAGGTGCACTAGGCCGCACGTTATTCGCGCTACTATTCATTGTGGTCATGAACGCTAACGAGAAATTTAGGGAGAAAAAAAGTTTCTTACACACTTCTTTGTGCTGATGGTATATGCTTGCATACAAAGATAAGAGACGCTGAAGCAACAAGTGCAAGCTTGGGTTGACCGCTCCGCGGAGTTTGTGCTAAGGTTGTCAAGAAGATTGCTCCACAATCGACCCTAGTGGGGCGCGGGCTCCATCAGAATCGAACGCACGGAGCTCACTCACAAAATGACATTCAACTGTTCAGGATCAGCAATTACGCTCGATAGAGGTCGCACCTCGCGCGGCGGGATCGGAGTGGCGATCTACATCTTGAATTCCCCGCGACAAGAAGATTTCCGAGCGCCCCGAGTTGAAGTGTCGTGTTAGTGTGATGAAGATGAGAATGTTGCGTTGAACGGTGGACGTCCCGCGTTTGACCGCATTTGTAGCGATGTAATACGCAAGAAGTTCGAAGTAGCTACCATAGATAATAAAATATTAGGAAAGCATAATCGATGGTGAGGTCATGTACAATTGTTTTCACTGCACCCAGTCCGGTCACAATCAGCTGTTTCCAGCGGCGGCCTTTCGCACTGGTTGTTTTCTTAGAATGCATGCATGCATGCATAGAATCATAGTCACTTTTAACGACACACAACTCCGCCTTTTTTCTTACTGAGATCATGGTGAAACTCGAACTTCAATAACTTTTTCCACACTCCGATTCCAGCCCACATTTCATATGTTGGATAGAACGCTCAGAAAAAGAAAAGATTACTCGCTGATACATTAGGCCTTACTCGCATAGCTACACTAGCGTCAAAGGGAGTGTTGCGATTTTTGGTGAAACCTTATTCGACCCTTGCTTACTATTATTTATTCGCAGTTTCAAGCCGTACCATGTAGCTTCGCCCACTATTGCAGCCCTGTCCACTCCGTGAGAGCTATGCCCGCTTCTGTAAAATGCTTCAATTCTACGGTATACATGCTCGCTCGTCACTCGGGACAATCCTTAAAAATCGTCGGCACCAAAGTGATGCCTCTCGATTTTGAATGGCACAGGGACTAAGTGACGATATTCGCAATGGAGAGACGCTGGTTTACGAATTAGCGTTAAGTTGGCGCTGGCTAGCGTGGGATTGACGCCTAGGCGCGAGATGGCTCCAGCAACAAGTGGGAAAGTTACCGTCATGAGGGCTCTAGTGATCTCAATAGGAAGGGTTTCAGTTTGGAGAGCTCTACTTGAGGCTTCTGTAAAAGCAGTAGGTAGTTGAAAAATTAATTGCCAGAGTGAAATATCCCATTAAAACAACTTGACAAGTGATGGAAAAACAAAAAGAAACTATCCGTAGAAACTGGTGGCGACAACTGGAAAAGTTCTGCGAAAATCAAGTCACCGATAGATTACTTTGTCCCAAGCAGCCGCTCGAGCATGTGCCACCGGTGGGTTGTAATGTCATAAGCATATTGAGCATGTACAATTGACACAAAATAGGAGATAAGCACGGGACAGTCCTACTCGCAGCGACCGTCTTCAAGTGTTTATTTTTAATACTGCCGAGAAGAAGAGCTCGCATTAGAGAGTGAGTATCAGTAATTCCAATTTTAGAGGAAACAGTTCTTAAAATCACCTTGTAAAACAAAGTGTCCACTTCGCTAAGGTTCTTCAGCCGCGATTCGTTGTAGAAGTTGGTGTGTTCTATCACGACATCAAGATTTGGTGTTGGTATTGAATAGAGTTTCATCATAAATATTCGCAGATGCAAGATATCTAGTAGTGCGTCAGTCTTATAAAAGTCTACGCCGGTGTCAGCAGCAATGTATTTCATCTGAAGTGATGCATTTGTTCTTGGATGGCTTCAGTTGAATCCATGATCAAATTATAAATAGCCATTTTCGCTGAAGACGATGTAGTGTATTTTAGATTGGAGCCGGCCCGTTTTCCACCAATTCTTGTCCACTGTTGTAACTTGCCACCTTCAATATGGTTCAGAACAGGCCATCACCACCCCCCCCCCTTCTGACACCCCTTAGCGCTTGCAGCGGAAACGACTGTATATGCAGTTTTAGCTATGCCTTATTTCTCTTTCTGAAGACTTGCACACTTGAGCGAAGAAGTATGAAGTTTTTGAAGAGCTAACTTCCAAAAACAACAGCTCTTTCATCCACCTTTTCACCACATGTATGCTTGATGTAAGGTCCTCCACATTTCCCTAAACATTCTAGGTTCTCCTTACGGTACGTAGTTTTTGCTACGCACTTGTTTTACCAGCTTTCGGTGTTTTGCTCGGAATTTCCAGTTCTCAAACCCATGAAAAAACATTCGAGGAAGACTCAGTTATCAAAAACGTGCAAAAACGTTGAATACATTCATTGGCCTACATTGTACTATTCTACATTGTATAATACTTCTTCAGAATGTCTTTCTCTGCAGCAGGACAGGTCTGTCCTTTTTTTAATCGAGGAACTCTGTGGAGGAAATACAGCAGCACATTCAAAAATAAATCTTATAGGCGCGCATGTTTGCATGCCCCTAATGTGCATGCTTACCGCTATGAGCTCATAGGTCACATGTTATGAAGAGAACTTCAGAGAAAACATAGATCTGCATAAGAGTGGTTTATGTAGGTACCGGCTTGGCTGTCGCGCACCACTGCGCACAGGTGAGTCGTGTGATACTGTTCAACAGCGGTAGATACAAAAAGAACCCTCTCACATGGCCTAATTTCCGTTCTCAAGATGCTGCATGCGAGATCCCTTTCATAAATGATTGACTGCAAATGTGCACTTCACAGGATAGTCTCAACAACCGAGCATTCACTGGACAGCTGAGCTGTTGGGATTCGAAAACTAGATGAAAAAGTGTCAAAACGACAATGAGGTATATTGACAGTCTGGTGCTTTCTCACAGCAAAGGAGAATGATCTTCGCAAAGCTGCTACGCCTCTTATAAGTCTTCGCTGATCGGCTATGCTTTCCGGCAGCTATGAAGGTTATATACGTATAGTTCCCACGTAATCGATGAAAGCCGACATAATCGGCGATTAGGAATGGTCAACAGGCTAGGCAATGTGAATAAGACTGTAGATCACATCTTGGCATGCAGGGCACGAATCTTACAAACCATGGGGAACATTCCCTGAAGTTACGGTGCCGTTCTTTTATTCGCTACTAGTCCAATCGCCACGATGTCGCCGGACGGTCTCTTTCTGAGATACGGCCCGGCTTCGCTGGGGCAACTTGGCTAGGCCAGACACTCTTCCCTTATGCGAGGTAGGACGCAAAATGCTAGAATGCAAAATGTGTTAGGAGGTCACAGGACATTTTGTAGCTCAAATGTTTTATTCTATTTGTAAAGCAGAAGTTCTGTGTGCCGGTTTGTCGATCTGTAGGCATGTACAGGGGTGGCCAAATAAAAGTCACTTTGACCAAGTCACATATCAGCAAAGTTTTTGCAGCCCAGACAGAGGACGTGCACACGAGTACCGGGGAGGAGGCTACCCAAGATGTTCCTCTATAAACAGGAGCTGGCTCACGCCCACCACCTTCAACCGTCGGAATTCACGTCACCTCCAAACTGCTGCGATACTTCTAGTATGGAGTTACTCATGGATAGCTACCTGGAGACCAGTACCCTCAATCTGGATGACCCCCAACATCGAGCAGCTTCGCCAACTTTGCTACGGTCTAGGACATCATCTTCACCGTAGCCGCCGAGGCGCGAGTTGATGGTATGGACCGGGGTACCTGGAATGGGAAGACCGATATGTTCTTTGTAGAGACGGACTGAAGGTGAGCTCCGGCGTTACATCAAGTAACTCGAGAAGAATATCCTCTCTACATGTGGTCGCCCGTGACTTCTTGGAGACCTTGTGCTGCTACAGCTTTGGGTGCCACCACATGGAATCGAAGGGTTTTGAAAAAACTCCCGCCTACTTCGGATGGAAGGGCGTTTCGTACCTGAGCAAGATGTAATATTGAAGTATGTCCCTTGACCTGAACCCACTCAATTACCTAGTTCGGGCGGAGTTCAATAGGGTGGTCTACGGTGGCGGAGAAATCGACTACCCCGCTGATCTTAGGTACTACATCGCGGTCGCGTGCCACACTCTCTCGATGGCGCCCGTCCAGAAGGCTGTGGCGGAGTGTTGTGATAGTACTTAATATGCTCTTCAATATGGTGTAAAAATGTCCGATCAGAATTTGATAAAGTGTAACTTATAGCTCCTCGAAAGTCAATGAGGCAAAGTGACTTTTTTTGCCCCCCGCCCTGTATGTACAGTCTTCATCATTGCGGACCGGTGGGGCGTCTCAGCCAGAAGAAGTGCGCACACTGCTGAAGCCGTTCCTAGCCTTTTTTTGCTGCAACGCGTGTGGAACAAAAAGTGGTAGAAAACGAGTAATGCGAAGGATATAATACAATAGTGCACTTGCCCGCTTCAGAAATTGGTGCAGAACGACTTTGAAACCGCACCAAAACGGCAGCCGCACTGCCACGCCCGGCACCGGTCCGCAATGATGAGGAGTGTATGTATGTTTGTCCGTCCGCAAAATGCTTCATAGGATTAAATAAGGGACTGTATGGAGAAAACCAGTGTAGGAACCATTCGGTGCAGATGTATCAATCCATTATTTTGATTGTGATAGCTCCACTATATAGGACAACCACTTAGTGCACTCCGAGCCAGGCAACGGTTAGGTCTCCACGAAAGGTCGCGGCGCGGTGGGGGAGAGGCGGGCCGCGCGGCGTTTTCGCGGTGTGCGCGGCGTTTGCATCCGTTCGTTACATTTCCTTTGGTCTACTCTATTATTTGCGGATGTGAAAACTATGAACAGAGTGGGCCCCATGTTCAGCTATTACTATAAAACAACGTACATTTACATAGACATAACAGAGTAAATTACCAACCTCAAAAATTCACTTTAGGTTGAATTCTTCGTTTGCAATCGATTCTAAGGTATTGTAAGGGCCTAAAATTCGCTTGAGGGGGAGGAGGTGAAGTGATTCATAGGCACTACAGAACCAAAGATATTAGCCTACTGGGCAAAACACGGCCAGTCAATCGATCAATGGAAAGACCCCACAATGATTCCCTATGCCGAAAATTAGTTGGAAAGAGCCAGAAGTATGTATTCTGCCACTGAGCAACCTATAACGGCAATGAAGAAGGAAAATGGAAAAGAAAAAGGAGGGAAGAAACGGAAAGCCGCAGCGACCAGAAATATATGGAGAAGAAACCTGCAAACAAACCGAACCAAACCACCAGCAAAACACAAAAGGAAACAAGTAATCAAAAAGAGTCCAAAGCAAAATAACAGTGATCAGTAAGAAAAATAATAGGAATGGCCAAATGGGTAAAGAAGGTAGTATTGAGGAAACACAGCAATCTTGAAGGAATACAGCTGCAACCAGGAAATACTGGCATCCTATCGATTATTTTAGCGATTTGGCACCATGCCAAGCAGGTTGGCATGATGCTAGAGCTAGCAAAGGGGATCAGGATCCCATTTGCACGACTGTATGGATCTCGTCCAATCGCGACAGCAATCTCCGCGCGCAGCGAGGCGAAACATGGCAGCCGTGACCTCTCGTGGAGTCCCAACCTACACCTCTCCGAGCTATTGCACGAGCTGCTCGCGTGGCAGCTGGACATTAGCGCGTGCAGTGGGACAGGGTAGGGTAGAGCAGGGCTTCGGGGACATGGGGAAGAAGGTAAGGCGCGAGCAAAGAAGGGATGGGGCGAGGGAAGTGACGTTAGTAGGCTGCTCGCGTGACAGCTGAGCCTGGGTGCAGTCAGTCAGGCTTCAAGAGGAGCGCACTCTAGGTCCTCCCTCCCAATCAGTCTCACTTCCCTCGCCCTACTTTCTTCCCCATGCCCCTCACTCCTGCCCTTCTCTAGTGAAATCGGCAACTCGAAGAAAGGAGGGATCAGTCGCTAGCAGAGTTGCATCGCATCTTTCACGTGCTATCAATTTAAGGTGATATTTCGATCCGCGCCATTACACGGACTGCTCGCGAGGCAGCCGAACGGGAACACGTGCAGTGGGACAGGGTAGGGAAGAGGTAAGGTGAGGGGGTGAGGAAGGGGCAGGGCGGAAGGGTGGAGGTAATGGGGAGGTACGATGACGGAGAGGGAGAGGGCCGCCATAGAATACTTAGCAAAAGCACACTACTACTGTGGGGACGAAAGCATTAGTGGAAGCGCTAAGTTGATGAGAGGATGATCCAACTGCTACAGGGTACAGCATCGTTGTGCGAAACCCATAGGGGGGTCATACTTAGCCGCTGGGGAGGGGGGGGTCATTATCTCAAGGGTCAATCAGCACCGGACAACGCTATGACTATGAATTCAGTAGATAAAAAGAGTGGAGCTATAAAAGTCTTGATGTTAAAAAAATTGAAATTTTTCATGAGTGTATTCTCGACAGATTTAGGCGCTCCGTTCACCAGCCTTCTTTTCATGCAAAATCCCCAGAAAGGAAGATGTACTTGGCCGCAGGGGACGTGCGGAGGATCGCAAATGCAGGGTCGGTGGGCATTAAACAGCACAAAAGTGTCATTGCCAAGTTTAATTTAGCGAACGGAAAGCTGCAGATGATCCGGACGTAAGGAAAACTACAAAATAATAGAAAAACCAGTCGGATCGCTCGGCTGACCCCGAGCTCCTCTCCTTCTCTTTAGCTCGGCTTTGCCGAGCTGGCCTGCTTTTGGCAGGCGCACATAATTGAAACGCAACTTCTTCGA